TGACGATTCTGATCGATTTTCGATTTCTTAAAATGAAATGCTCAGCAATGTTTCATTTAAGTTGCTGCATTTTAAGCAGAAGATACGCACTGCCAGCCAATGAGGATCAGGAACACTATGCTTATGCTTCACAACTTATGTATATCTGTTCGAAATCAGCCAATGAACTACAGAAATAATAGTATTTATATTGGCACCTCTATAATTGCAAAATGCAGTGCGCCACGAATACGCACAAAATCGCAGAACGACGACTTGTCTGATCAGACCGAGGCGGTGATTTAGCTGTTTAAATACAAATAAGGGTATATGAGAGATAACATGAGATAATGTTCTAAAATTGGTCTCCACATCTCTTTCCATTAATTAAATGACGACTTTAAGCTCTAGAATGTTCTCGATTTGAAAATTTGTTTAGGTCATGTCCTGTGGTCATTTCGCTTTAAATTAATTACAATTTTAATGAGCATTCTTGCAACTGGGTGTCACTCTCATAAAATCATTTGTTTACGGTGGAAAAAACATATTATAGGTCCGAATAAATCTTTCGCTATTATATGACGCCAATCACGCCAATTGTTCTCCGTAGCCAAACGGTCACGGGCTCGATTCCCGGTGTCGGATCATAGTTGTAAATTAACTTTTCTATTGTCTTGGGTCGGAATGCTTTGTTATTTCAAATTTCCATAATAGGGAATATGCGTCTGATTCAAAAAAGGGTTAAATATATTTTATTACAATCGTTATTGCTTTAGAATAAATTCTATCTAAATATTTTTCAACATTAGTTCGTTTTCGTCTTGATAATAATTATTAAAAAGTGCACAATAAATGCGGTAACTTCAAAATATTTAAACGCCATGCTACTTGTCAGAGCGGATGTGACGAAAATGTACACGTATAGGGATGTCGTTGTTACAAAAAGTTAACATCGATGCAATAACATCAATGTATTATGTCGCAAAATAAACAACTGATTACAATTTAAATGATGTTTTAGGCTTTTATTTTTATTTCACCAATTTGGTAAACTATATGATTTGTTAAAAAGTTTATTATACTTTAAAAAATCGATTAGTTGTTAATCGATTTGGGTAATTGAGATAATAATCAATCACTCAAAATCCATATTGATTTAAAATGTCATATCTCTAGTCGTGTACTTTGACAGTCACGATGAGCGCGCCAAAAATTCCGGTGTTTAAACTGCTCGTAGCTATTACTTATTTTCATCAATGATTAATGTTACAAAATTTTAGTTTTCGGTGCCGGGTATTTTTTTACAGTTATATATCGATGTAAATTATCATATAAAAACATTTTCTAAAAATGTGCATATTCTCTATTACAAGGGCTCTTGGCATCTAAGCAATATATGTAATACTGTATAATATTTATTTAAATTAACTATGTTAACAGTTATTATGAAAATAAAATAAGTGTGATGACAAAGCATTTAAAATTTCTCATAAATTTTGTAGGGCTATTTTTACAATAAACTAATATGCAAAAAAGCATTATATCAAGATTTGTGTCATTCTGTTGTTATAAGTGCATGTGTGCAACAGCGGCAATCAATCAGAGCTACTCTTGATTAAAATTTTGCGCATGCAATATGTGGTTCGTTTTTTGTTATATCTGAACTTTTATATAACAGTAATGAATAGAACCACGACGACATCGTCATGGGGTTTCGTGCATTATTATCTGTTCTCACTAACAAAACTTTTCATATTGACAATACCAGATTTCCAATCACACAGCAAATAAAAGGCAAAGAATATTTAATTGACAACATTTTTTCTATTTAAAATTATTAAAACCTCTTTTTGTGATTAAAACGCATACCGTGCATAAGAAAACATATATGCACTTATATTTGCCAATAAACTAACATTGATATGCCAAATATGTCTTACTACGTTTAATCATAATTATTTATCTTAAAATTCTTAAATATCATAAATAGCAGTAGGGATGCCCGACACGATACGATATATCGGAATATCGATACATGACCATACGATACATCGATATATGATACGATGTTTTAGCCCTACGATTCGTTGCGATATATCGCATTCTCACTACAATATCGTATCGACGTATCGCATTAGACTGAGACATTTTGTTGACAATAAAATTAATGCGGATCCCATTACTTAACGGCACCGTCTCATATCATTTTAATGTGATAAATACTTTGTTATAGCTTATAAGTAATTATTTAACATGTAACAGAATACTAGGAGATGATACGAGCCGACTTTTATTTATATTTTGTAGGTATATTAGGATTACTTGAGATATTTGTAGTTAGGTACCAACAATTTTGTTTGAATATAAAGTTCATTGCTTGTCTAATGTGAACCCAGAGAAGGCATAGATGATATTTTGAAACAATATATGAGAGAACCTCTTAAAGAGAGGAAAGAAAACATTGTATTATACTGGGCAGCAAGAAAGAATATTTGGCCTGATCTCAGTGATTTGGCGCTGCGTTATTTATCTGTTGTGGCTACTTCTGTTCCCTCCGAACGTTTATTTCTTTAGCTGGATCCACAACTTCAGAAACCCGTAATCGATTAGATCCAAAACGCCTTTCTAGACTGCTATTTTTACGCAGCTTAAGTGCAGAGCAATGGCAACTGTGAATAATAAAAAGTTTGTTTTTATTTAGAGTTCTGCAATAATTCGCAAATTTTGTTTTTGTTATGCTAATAATTATGGCTAGAGTTTGACTTTGTCACTAAAAAGCGAAATACTTACCTCATTTTATATAAAATATCGATAATATCATATGTATCGTTACAAAAGGATACGATAATATCGTGAATCGATACAAACACATGCGATACATTACGATACGATATATCGATACAAATTTATTTTTTGGGCATCCCTAAATAGCAGTTGTGCAAATACAATAAGAATGACAAAATTGCAATTCTAATTATTCCATGAATAAGTGTTGTCAGTCTGTAGGTGAATATGAGTTTTAGTTTTTATAACGGTGGCATAACAAGAGGATGGCAATACTGACAAAATGCCACGTGTTCCAAGCCAGACACCGGAGCCTGATGTTAGTGAAGGTCCATGAGAATGGGAGGATCCCAACATTTATCAACAACAACGGTTTGTAACATATGCAGCGTTAAACGGTTACATAGCCGCGCTACGGTAACAGCTCCCTCTGGGGTGGAAAGATTGTATGGAAATCAGCCATTTTTTAATGTTATAATCTTGAAATGGACACTGAAATTACAATCAAATTGCAAATTTTCAACAAAACGCTCTAATATCAGAGTTGGGAAAATAGGAACGCGCCTACACCGCCACTTTCGGATAAATAAATTTAGGAGAGCAAGTAGTATATTTTTAATAATTTATCAAAAATCAGATGAATCAGACTCCACTTTTATTTTACAGTCGAATAAATAAATACTCATTGCGTCCGCCTATCGAACATATTAACGCATACTTCAGTTGATACGCTCGACGAATCTTTGGTCGCACCGACAACGAAAGAGGCGGCGCAAATGCCAGGTAATAGATTTTATCACATTTTTTTTAATTGTTTAGCTTATATTCTAATTCATAAAACACTATTCATTACATATACACGAACTTGCATTTTGTTTGTCCATAATTCTTTACGAAGTTATAATTTGTATCATTTATGACCAAAATCTTTTTCTTTTTAGCGCCACTGGCTGCCCTAAACCTTGAAATACACACTGGACTACACGTAAAACTTAAAGATTTTATGCACATTCAGTAATTCAGATTTGCGTTCATTGCATTTCAAAAACAATCTTTTAAAACGCTGCCAGCTTGAGACAGATAAGACTTATTCGCTCTGGAATAACTAAAAACTACACCTTATAATAATCTATAACTCTATGAATCAAAAGAGATATATACATTCTTTTGGTCTTTCAATCTGCAATTCATTTTCCTGCAACTTTCGCAAACACCCGACCATTAATGGGTCACAAATTGATCAATAAAAATGTACTCTGAAGTTTCTCCGTTTTGAAATCATCCAAGCAGTTGGTCCAAGTTGCATCTGCAGTCGTTAATACGCACCAAGCCGCACCGGATCACGGGACATGGGAAAATCATGTGTCTTAACAGTAGGGACTAGCGTTGAAAATGGCATGTAAACGATGGTATATTTTTCGCATTATTCATCAAATAGTTCCCTAAACGTATCTTTGAATGTGCCTTTGCATTGGTTATTTACCGTTACATTTATTATTTGAGGGCATTCGTAAGCTGTTTCGAATTCAGAATAAAAGTAAGCGCGCAAGGAAAACATCAAAGATGTTTTGTCATTTTCGTCTGTTCTATGGTCGTATGAATTTTGGGTCAAGGATCTTGTATGGACAACCCAAATGAATTAATACAAATTCCCCATGGGCACTTTACAGTTCCATCATAAGACCTTTGATTCTAAAACTATATCGGACCAAGGTTCATATCAAGATAAATCAAACATATCCAAACACAATCGGAGTTGCTTCGTTTATTTACAGAGATCCCATGGCTCAGATGATCAATTAAATATTAATTAGTTAACATCTAAGTTATAAAGTCAGTTATATAGGGTGTAATATTATTATGTGCCAGGACTTCGTGGGGTGGATTAGTTAAATGTACTGAACAACTTTTACTATGTAAGCAACACTGAATTCACGAAAAAAATATCAGATGTTTCATACAACATTGTAATACTGTAGGTAACCAACAGTATGAAACAGCAGATTTTTTTTTCATGAATTCAGTGTTGCTCCAATAGTAACAGTTCTTCAATGTAATCATCATCCATCCCACGAAGTCCTGGCCCACAAAATAATATTACAGCTCATAAATATATGCAAAGATTCAGCTAAATCGAAAACCGAGAAGTTTGGAGTTCGTGTTGCAAAATTTACTCCACAAATTCACATTTTCAACGCTAGTGCACATAAATTGGCTGATTATTATGATCGTATTACCTGGTTCGTTTTTGTGCGCAGACTCGATGTGCCTGCGCATGTCGTGTGCGTAACGACGCTCCACCCAGCACTTGGTGCATTTGAGCTTCTTCTTGCCATTATCCTCGATCACTTCCACGCAATGAGCGACATCAGGCAGGAGTCTGAGTTCTGTGGGATTTACATAATAGCATGTGATAAACAGCCGTTCTCTATAATCCCATATTAGCATACAAATTTCTCGACTTAGCTATCTATCACCATTCCATTTGCTAGTTTAATATAATTTATAATTTTTTCATTTTAAGTCCTATGAAAATTTGCTTTAGCAGAATTTATTATAACATTGTAATGTTTAACTCGTATGAATTAACATTACATTAGTTTAGACTTATTCTATTTGCCCTCGACCGAAAATTCGGAAAATTCCGAAACGTTCTCATAATTTTGTTAAAATCATATCTGTCAATATTATCTATGCATTAAAGGCAATCAGGTCCTAACTCTGTTGCGTCACAAATTATCGAAAAATTTGTTTCTTTCGAGTCATATTAATATTTCGAATAGGTATTTTCTGAGAAACAGAGTAGACCTTTTGGTCCAACTTTGTTGCATCATAAATTTTATCTAAAAATGAATTTCTTTGAAATCGTATTAGCATTTAGAAAATAAACAAAATTTCTAGGCCTAGGCCTTCAAGAATCACTTTAATTCTTACGAGTAGTAATTGTAACATAATAAGCCCATAATTTATGTTCTCGCCTAACATCGTAGAGATGAAAATGACCGCTGTCCGTGAACACGATCCTGTGTTAGCTTAGCTGAGCTTGTGCTCACTACCCTTTTGCTTTGTAATAAAAATCACATTTGTATACATGTTTTATTAAAACGTCCCATATACGCACCACGGCCGCACATCACACTACACACCATCACTGTAAGACCTGTGTTAGTAGGGAAGTTCATTACGAAGCGCGGCACAAAGTCGACAATATATAGTCTGTCTGACGTGCACCGTGTATATTTGTTATGAGAAACCAATAAAGATTTTATCGATATCAATTTAAGTGAAAATGGGCATCCTCTCCATACATATTTAAACGCAGTAACTAGTGTTTGTGTTTACAGTTTAGTTTCACGTCTGGTTTCGCGACTCGTCTACCACCATAACCCTTTTTTAAGAGCCGCCCAAATGCAAGGCCGACTCGCGCACTGTGTTCCGTAGCATTATTTAAAAAAAAGCATAAAAATCACGTTTGTTGTATGGTTCTCTTAAATATTTATTATGTTCAGTTTATAAAGGTTAAGTTTAAGATTAAACACACACACATCCATGAGTATACTCACAACATTGTTCCTGAACTAGAATTCTTGTGTCATCATCAAAACTAAATCTCATGTGTAAGCAATTGTAGACGAGTGTTGTTGTTGATAACACCCAATGTTCCTTTTTTTTTTTTGTGAATTTAAAATTGTTTTAGTCTGTTTTAAAAAGAACTCTTCAATGTCGATTTCTTGGCTGTGTGTTCATGGGCGTACCGAGTGTAAGGGACAGGGATTATTCCATCTGCTAAAAGTTGACGGCCTAGAAAAGTGATTTGTCCCTCCTGACCAAGCACCTGAGTTTTAACTGGGTGAGTGAAGTGCATTCAATTTTACTTGAGTGTAGATCACCGCATGAAGTAGCGGACAAATCTCAAGGAAGTGCTAAATAAACTTCTAAAACTGTCGTTAACTTTAAATTGAAAAGTTGAAATTACCGATTCAATTATGTGCCTGGAATTGATTTTGCTTGTCATATGAACTTCGGATCATACGATACCTCAACCAAAAAAATTAACCTTTAGTTCATATTATTCATAATCACAGTTACGTGGTAGAGCTTGGCCGGCACATCACCAGAAGATCACGATCGTCACGAGAGCACAAGACATTATCTGGGGTTCCTTTAGATCTTGAATAAGTATTTGATAGAAGCAAGTATTATCTTGCGCAAGTCAATTGCTATATCTGTGAAACTATAAGTCAGTCACTATCTATAAGACCTGCTGTGCACCGTCAGAACATTTTCACATGTGCAAACTGCAACAATTCACACATATAATACTCCACACGTGTTTCGCACCTTCACGGAGCATTCTCAGCAGTTGCTACACCTCACAGTAGACCTTACGCTCTGTAGTAACCCTGACACCCAGGGGAAGATATCTTTAAAGGCCATCGGTACAAATCTGACGCAAGATTCTTCAACTGTCCCACGGAAGTTTAAGCTAGTAACGTCAAGTGCGCAAAATTAAATGCCAGCTTATAAATTTATCAGTTCTGGCGTTTCGTGACCGACGATTAAGCGACTGCAGAGTCGCTTAATCTTAAACTTAATCAAATATGCACCGTACCGATCCATAGGCAAAGTAGGATTTCACTAGAGACACAACATTACTAAGAGGTGCAAAAAATAAATATACAAATGAAGATAAATGCCAGGAATTGGAATATACAGCGTGTTTAGTAATACCTGTATAATCCCGAATATGGCACATACGGTATTATGAATAGAACCCAGAAAAATGATAACTAAGTCTGAAACCCAGCACATGACCTAGATATTCAGCTTTTTTTCTTCGAAGTAAAACTGTACGCTGACAACCCTAAAAACAGCTGTTGTGTTGTATTTGGTCATCGACTCCATGTGCCGAACTAGTTTAAAAAATAACAGAAGTTAAATAAATCTAAAGATAAATGCCTAGAATAAATATGCATCCGAGAGTAATTTATTATTTCCAAACAAAGAAAAAGTTAGTAGTAAATGACTTTTAACCATAAAAAAACACTAATCTTGTGATTAACGGTGTTTCAAAAACTTAAGAAAACTTCACTAATAATACAGTCAAAATAAAAAAGAAATTGCAAATACTTTAATTGAAGTTCAATATCTGCACCATTGCTCACATTAGTCTATGCAAGAAGGAGCGACAGAGACATAAAATCGACGACGATGTGTATTGAGAAACTCGGGTTTCTGATGTGTCAGTAAGGTTCTGTAGATTATTTGCTTTGAAGTTTTGTTATTTTTTTCATAAAGCCGTGTTATTTTTACGAAACAATAAAATACGGACTTACACAATGATATTAATAATCTAAGTATCTCGCTTATTCTTAGTTTAAATGATAATTAAATAAACGTTAGTTGTTATGGAAAGGTCTAATAATAAATAATATTTCTTTTCTTTTCTAATTTAATCAAAAATTTTTTTATGCTTATAATTTTGTTAATGACTTGGTCTTAAATTAGGTAACCACTTTTAATATTATGGCCTTTTTTTCTTTTGTAACCGTGAAAAACGTAAATAAAATTGTAATAATAAATAAATAGCCTCATTATCAATTTCGTCAGTAAAAAATAGTATGATAAGTTACTTTGAAATTTCATTGTTTAATTCAATAAAAAATAACGATTTTTTGTTAGGTAGGTTACGTAACACAGAATTTGATGACGCGGAACCCTAAATCGGTGCACTTTTGATTTAGGTACACTGGTGTTCGAGTTGCAATAATAATAACCTATGTAGTTTTGGTCATCGCGTCAGTCACGTCCGTGAGTTTCATCGGCGTACTTGTGAGTTTTCAGAATTTAGAAGGTCAACTTACGTTTTCGTTCTTTCGGGACTTTTGATTTGTTTTTCATTCTCGTTCTGTTTACCTGTGTGTTATGTTTGTGTGCGGTCAGTGCAATGAATTCGTACTCAAATGCCTAATATTACGAGATGATAATGTGTGGCGGTGCTTGTGGCGGTAATCTTGCTGCGGCTCGGCGGCGTTATGACGAGCGCCACGTGTCAGGAAGATCTGAAAACCATCGACGTCTTCCTTCTTACCGGTGATTCGCGGCACTTGTGAATTGGTTACATACAACTGGTTCATTCCATAGTGTGCCACAGGTAGGCCGGTCGAACACCTATTCCATCGAGACAGAGGATATGATTTTACGTCGAGAGTAACAATACACGGTCTGTGTCGAGTCGAATGGAGATGTGTGTTTTATGCGGTGGCCGGCATATCGAGACCCTGGACTGATAAAGTGGAGGTGAAGTGTAGGTAATGTTGCCAAGTGAAAGCTGAAAGAGTGATAAGAACGCTGTAGGTATGTACCTATTTAATCTTAAATTGTTTTAATTACAAGTAAACTCATACGTAGTCGAGTGCGCGCGTCGGCGACATCAAAATGTATTCTAGGAAACGAGAGAGTGAGAGGTAATGTGTGAGAGAGAGAGAGAGAGAGAGCGAGTACGCCGGGACGGCACGTATAAGCTTACAGGGTGTAGCATAGTAATTGAAAACAAATTGTTCAAATATTTGTATGAAAATATCAATTTACGTGAAATTGTTTTTTGACATATCAATTGTGTTCTTTGTGCTAGGTTGTATGGCCATGTTTCGGGATTATACAGGTATTACCAAACACGCTGTATAATTAATTCACATATAAAAAAAACTGAAATAATAAGGAAACAAGATGCAAAAAAGCTAAACAAGAATCACCTTTTTTGTTGTATGACAAGAAGGGGCGCCAATGAAATGTCTACCACTGGTGACACCAACCAGTTAGATTTCTTAATAAAACTCGGGTTTATCTTTTCGCAACTGAGCTTTAACACAGGATAAGCCAAACTGACCGTAGTCCAAGCAGCATCTAAGTACAGCAGCCTGACTTGCCACGACACAGCACGTTTCCAGTCAAAGATCCAGTCTTGTACCGAAGGCTAATTTTATTCTGAGAGTGGATGCCACTTTTATCATGGCCGTTCGAATGCTTAACTGTTCACAAGCGTACACAAATTCAAAATATGAAAATTTATGCTGCTTGGCAAATTTTTATGAGAAAGTGGTCATTAACTGACCTAGTAGATTTATCAAATAATTTTCATATCAATTTTAAAAGCATAAGTACCTCCGTAGCGTTTAGTTAATACTCCAGTTTAAAGATGTCAATGTTTCTGTAGCCCCTGGTTAGGTTCGGGAAAATATTGTAAATAATACATTTATTATTTCAGATTTTCATAACACATTGGTTGCAGTTAGTTAATACTTACTTAGTTATCTACAGCAATAATTGGGAATAATATACAGTAAACTAAATTGGCTAAGCCCACATAAATTAATGTTTTAGGGAC